AATCTGTAACCTTGATATTGCCAGCGTTGTCCCACAATGACTTTGAACAGTAGCTCTGCCCAGTATCCAGTCCATGCAAGTGTTGAAAAGAGTTGTGCAGGAACCAGCTTGCCTCACTCCTGAACTAACAGGAAAGAAGCTCGCAGGCCCCCCCACCACACTTTATAGCACTTTCAGCCAGTATACGGCTTGCTATTAGTCCAATAATCCTTTGTTGGTTTCCTCTCAGCCTCAGGGATCTCCCAAAGGACTCCCGATGCACCGTTATCGAACGACTTCTTGAGGTCGATGTAGGCTGCAAGCAGCCCACGCCCGAACTCCCCGGCGCTCTACATGACTCGAGCGCTGGTAGCGGGTCTATGTGAACTTACCAGGAGTGAATCCCCGGATTGCTCCAGTCTCTGGTGCCTCAGTAGATGGTCTCTGATACGTCTGCAGAAGGATGTGGGAGAACCTTGCCTGGTACACTGAGCCCAGTGATGCCTCGGTGGATTGCTGCAGTCCCAACGGTCCCCTTCCCCTTCCAGAGAGGATATGACCACACCCCTCAACAGTCAGGAGGACGGAACCGGACTGCCAAGATAGGACAGCATGTAACCCCGTCCATAGGTTCACACCAGCCTTTAACAGTTCAGCTGGTATGCCGCAGATACAGCTGCTTTACCACTCTTCAGCCTGGAAATCGCCCCCCAACTTCAGTTAGGGAGGAGGGTCCTCACTGATAGCGTGATCCGGCAGCGGGATCTCGACACTACCCGCATCCAAGTTAACTGTTGGTGGATCAACCTGGTACAGCTGCTCAAATACTATCCCAACGTCCCCGCACCGCAACAGGATCTGAAACGATCTGACCACTTACTGAGCGAACTGCTGTCACCTGTGAAGGGCTTGCAGTTCAGCTTTTCTCAGGCTTGGTATGTAGGACGAAGGTCATTTACTAAGAAATGGCCTTCTACCTCCTCTGCAAGACTCCTAATAAACTGTTCCTTATCCCTTCTTAACAGGGACCGCGTTCTGCACACATGAGAACGGTGCGTTCCGATCCCCTGTCAGACGAGCGCACGACATGCATCCTGTGGCTTCCAGTTGTCTCCCGTGAGATGGAATTCTGTACTGCTCTCGGGCGTACACCAATCGTATCTTGAGCTGCATCAAGCGTTTCACGCTTAAAGGTATCCCACAGAAGAACAGGGTCTGTCAGACTGCCAAGCACTGCGAAACGATCAGAGATTGCCTCAGCAAACCTGCGGGCACACTCTCCCTCCCTCAGCCTGTCCAAATGAAACACCCTAGGGTGATCATTTGACCGCTGGGGGGTTTTGAA